ATAAAAACATCCAATCTAATATGTCACAGAGTGGAGTCCAAGACATCAGGTTGTCCAAGTCAAAGGTCATCTATCATGATAGTCGTTGGAAGCACGTCGGCGGAAGAACACCCAAAATGGTTAGTTTCAGTAAAGATTGACCAGTAAGTCAACTTGATTGAGAGTGAGAAGGTCCTGACGAGACCACTTCCAGGATATTCCCTCAACCATTTACTTATAGTTAATTCCACCAGTGACAAGTGTTCATAAAGTAACAGAAGAGAAAGGCACTAAGTGGCTGATAGTTTAGGAATAGTGAAGAAGTAAACAAAGAAACGTTTTTCTTAATAAAAGTTTTAATTATACATTGTTTCACACGTTTGATTAATGATTATATTATTGTAATGTCTATATGTCTAAATATTAATTATGTTAATTGTAAAGACTTGCGTTATCGGTAATTATGGATTTAAAGTTTAATGGGCAATTGTTTTTGTTTTGTTTTTTTATGTGCGAGAAAGGATTGTTTGGGGAGCTTCACAATCCAGGGAAAAGCGTTGAGCTGTCTCAAGGTTTTAATCTATATATATAGTAAATTATTGAATAAATGTTTTTTTGCACTTTGAGACAGTCTCAAGCTTAAATATTTCTTGCGTCCCATAAAACTTTGGTTTCTTTTAACAACTGTATTATTTAAATTTTACATAAATGTATTTTCAACGTTAATATGTTTTTACTTAGATGTTTGCATTGCTCACTAGAAGGAGTTTTGATGTAACGTGATGAGCACATGACGTCTTCAGTTTTATTGAGAGTTGGTAAACGATTTATACGATATAACAATGCCAGTTATACTAGAATATAGTTAGTTGTTCGATTGATTACTGAGTTAGAGAGTGTTTGTTAGATATTTTTAAGAGACAGACGTTTTTTGCTATATTTTATTTATCAAAGGTTTGTTTTGTTTTGTTTTTTAATTTTGCGCAAAGCTACACGAGGGCTATCTGCGCTAGCCGTCCCTAATTTCGCAGTTTAAGACTAGAGGGAAGGCAGCTAGTCATCACCACCCACCGCCAAATCTTGGGCTACTCTTTTACCAACGAATAGTGGGATTGACCGTCACATTATAACGCCCTCACGGCTGAAAGGGCGAGCATGTTTGGTGGGACGGGGATTCGAACCCGCGACCCGCAGATAGCGAGTCGAGCGCCCTAACCACCTGGCCATGCCAGGCCTTATCAAAGGTAGATATTACACTTTATCAGAAATAAGTGGTGTAGGACAGGCATCTTTTTTTAAGCAGCAGTAACTGATGGGTCAGGCCTAGTGAAAGGGCACCGTTTATATTATATTCAATCAGTATTATCCATGCCCCAAAAAGATTATTAAACAAAACCTTTCTTCATACGCAATTAAAATATAATGGTTAAGTTGTAAATGTTCCAAATTTTAATGCATACAGTTTCACAGAAGAGTTTTGAGTTTTTGTTGTTGTTGTTTGATTAAGCGCAAAGTTCCATAATGTATTATCTACGCCAATTTCTAGGATCGAATCCCAATTTTTTAAGTTATAAGCCCTCGGGTTTGCCATTGAGTCACCAAATGGCGATTTCAATTCAGTAAGTATTATATAATATATAACAAGGGGACTAGCAGATGAAACCCCGAGAACAGGGTCTTGTCCACAATTGGAGAGTTCTGCCCCTAATTCCATCCGATATATCAGAATTTAATTTTCTAAGATTTTTAAATCCTCCCGACATTGTGACTCTCACTGACATTAGTGTGTTATTTTTGTTTGGAAAGGTGGGCCAGTAATACTGCGTAACTTCAACCGAAATAAGTGTCGCCAGTCAGATAAGACCGGTCCCGGTATAACCAGGTGGTTAGGGCGCTTGACTCGTAATCTGAGGGTCGCGGGTTCGAATCCCCGTCCCATCAAACATGCTCGCCCTTTCTGCCGTGAGGGCGTTATAATGTGGCGGCCAATCCCACTATTCGTTGGTAAAAGAGTAGCCCAAGAGTTGGCGTTGGGTGGTGATGACTAGCTGCCTTCCCTCTAGTCTTTCACTGCTAAATTAGGGACGACTAGCGCAAACAGCCCTCGTATAGCATTGCGTGAAATTCACAATTACAATAACAGATGAGACCTAGGGAGTTGATTGTTTGATGGTAGTATGAAACAGTATCAGACCGTCGTGAAACCATGCAAATAGATCATAGGGATAATTTCGGCTATTTTATAACTAAACAGACATTTCTTAGAGTCAAATAAATAAATTACCATTTGTTGATTTTATAACACTTAGTCACTTCTGTCTCTTCCGCCCCCTTGCTAATTCTTTCCTCCCACCCACCAACGACACCTGCCCCAGACAGGCTGCAAATTACGGAAGAAGTTTATCTCTTAACGTTATTTCCAAGCCTTTGGTGTTTTACTTGTCTTCTTAATTTTGGTTTAAAGACTTTTGCTGGAGAAAAAAACACACGTGCGCAAAAGACTCAGCATTCTTCTAGGCGTAACAAATACGATGAAAATCACAGTTGATTGAAGATGTTTTGAACGCGTTTCTTACCTGAAGTAAGCTTTCTTGTTTACTCCAATTCAACTGAACTGTTTGTATGTTCTCCTTCCTTGTTATCCAGTTTATACCAATACAACTGAACTGTTTATATGTTCTCCTTCCTTGTTAGCCAGTTTATACCAATACAAATGAACTGTTTGTATGTTTTCTTCCTTGTTATCCAGTTTATACCAATAGAACTGAACTGTTTGTATGTTCTCCTTCCTTGTTATCCAGTTTATACCAATAGAACTGAACTGTTTATATGTTCTCCTTCCTTGTTATCCAGTTTATACCAATAGAACTGAACTGTTTGTATGTTCTCCTTCTTTGTTATCCAGTTTATACCAATGCAACTGAACTGTTTGTATGTTCTCCTTCCTTGTTATCCAGTTTATACCAATGCAACTGAACTGTTTGTATGTTTTCTTCCTTGTTATCCAGTTTATACCAATACAACTGAACTGTTTGTATGTTCTCCTTCATTGTTATCCAGTTTATACCACTACAACTGAACTGTTTGTATGTTCTCCTTCCTTGTTATCCAGTTTATACCAATACAACTTAACCATTTGTATGTTCTCCTTCCTTGTTATCCAGTTTATCTCAATACAACTGAAATGTCTGTATGTTCTTCTTCCTTGTTATCCAGTTTATACCAATACAACTGAACTGTTTGTACGTTCTTCTTTCTGGTTATCCAGTTTATACCAATACAACTGAACTGTTTGTATGTTCTCCTTCCTTGTTATCCAGTTTATACCAATACAACTGAACTGTTTGTACGTTCTTCTTTCTGGTTAGCCAGTTTATACCAACTTAACTGAACTGTTTGTATGTTCTCCTTCCTTGTTAGCCAGTTTATACCAACTTAACTGAACTGTTTGTATGTTCTCCTTCCTTGTTAGCCAGTTTATACCAACTTAATTAAACTGTTTGTATATTTTTATTCGTTTTGCAGGTGAATGAAGTCTCCTTAAGGGATCTACCAGCTGCCAAGGCATTGCGTTCTTTGAGAGAAGCGGCTTCTCCCGTTAGATTGTTGGTTCTCAGGGAAAACCCACAAAAACTGTTCACAACAAGTGAAAGTAAGTTTGGAGAAGGAACTAAATACAAGCGTGAACTATTTTCAGATTGGACATTGTTTTGGCATAAAAACTACAAAAAGAAAAACAATATTTAAGTATTTAAGTTTTCATTTATTACTGGTGATTCTATTGTTTTTAGAAAAACTGACTCACTCAGATGGAGCTCGATGCAATGTATACTATATATCATCAACTGTGAGTTACCATCTTTTTCCCTGCAACAGGATCCATAGTGTACTGCAATATGCAGAATAGTCATAAACATAAACTATTTTTTATGACAAAGTATTTACAGAATAACATATAGAATATTTTCCCTTTGTGAATATGCTTGTCTCTTATGTACCCAAAGAAGACCAACCCGCAGCACCCGTGCTGCAAGTGACACGCAGGTAAATACTTGATTAGAATTTCTGCACACGCATGAACTTTTATTAAAACACGTATCATAATATTAATTATTTCATTTACTTAGTAATGCCCTTTTTAATGTGAGTGCTTGAATGCCCACCCTCTCCGTATTCCTTTGGACTCTGGTTTGGACTGCTTTATCAGGTCAGTGACCAGTTAATATTCAGAACCTAAAACTGACTCAACTATTAAAAAAGTTGGCCAACCCTCATCTAAAGGTTATTTAATGTAGGACAACTCAGTTTGAAAAACTGGTTCATGTTTGATGTGATATCAGATATAGACGTGTTATCCTTGTGTTAGTAGGGTTACCAGATATAAACGTGTTATCCTTGTATTAGTTGGGTTATCAGATATAGACGTGTTATCCTTGTATTAGTTGGGTTATCAGATATAGACGTGTTATCCTTGTGTTAGTAGGGTTACCAGATATAGACGTGTTATCCTTGTGTTAGTAGGGTTACCAGATATAGACGTGTTATTCTTGCGTTAGTAGGGTTACCAGATATAGACGTGTTATTCTTGTGTTAGTAGGGTTATGGCATATAGACGTGTTATTCTTGTGTTAGTAGGGTTATCAGATATAGACGTGTTATCCTTGTATTAGTTTAGTTATCAGATACAGTGTCGTTAAGGACAAATCACTATCATCTCTTATTTTTCAGACACAACCAAATTCATCACTGTTGAAATCAGGAAGTCCAGCATAACGGAGAGGCTAGGTCTTAGTGTAATGCAGAGAACGTAAGTTATTTGTAAACGTCTTGCTTCTTAATACAGCAGGCCATGTTTGACAGTATTCAATACACTAACCTAGTCTGGGTTTTGTACAATTCGGTATACCAGGATAACACTTTCTTTTACAGTAGCCTAAGTTTCATATTATAATTCAGTATACTAAATTAGCCCGTTCTTTTACAGTAGCCTAAGTTTGATATAAATCATTACACGGATTTGATTTGTAAGCTATATTTTCAATGTGTGCTAGAGATTTTTTCGTCATTGTTTTTATCATTACCTACATAGACAAAATATCATGTAGTATTGAAGTGGCTTTTAAATACTGATAATCCAGAAGGCCAGATAATAAGATGTACCCTGTAGTACAACTTTAGCATAATGTATTGCCTTATACAGAACCATAGAAATGCTGATACATTATCGTGAAGAACATGTGTTATTCAGTGAACCAAGAATAGAACAGATACCTCTCGCGGCAAACAGTCGCCCCATACAGCCCGAAAACAAAGATCTATCTTGTACAGTATCATTCCTTATGTTTTCAAGAGGGGTTATTATGTCGGAAATGGGAAGATACCAGCATCTCCACAATCTTCCATCAGCTGGATATTTACGTGCTAAGAAGTCATTGGATAAAGTAAGGGAATGTTTCTGTTGAGTTGAGGTGCCGAGGGTCTGTAGAAAATTGGTATGAATCTATGCTGTTAGCAAAAAGGTCCTCAAAAGAAAAGCATGGCAGCTACAGCAGTATTGTTTTAGAACACCACTTGAGAAAATTTGGTCCTCTGGCACAGAGTAACAGAGTGAATAAATGTATCATGATTATTATGGACTATCTCACCAAACGTCTAGAAGCAGATGCTGTTTCTAACCAGGAACCAAACACTCTAGCAAGGAAATTTGACAGTGAATTTGTTTCAAGTTTTGGGAGCTTATGGAACTTCATTCAGATCAGGTAAAGAACTTTGAATTAATCTTGTTCGTGGAGATATGTCATATTTTTGGGATAGAGAAAAACACCAAAAGAAAAACAACAGTCGTTCATAGATGAGATATACACCATATGCTTTTAATCAGTTAGTCATTTATGTGAATGAGTATCAGAAAACGTGGGATAAAGATCTTCTACAACTATCTATGAGTTAACAGTATAATAAGCTACAGACAACATACCATCATCATCATTGATGTTTGGGAGAGAACTTAAAGTGCTATTGGACATTCTGTACTCACATCAGGGGACAGTCATTCAGCAGATGTATATACAAGATATGCAGAGAGTCTACGGAACACGATTTATGTCTTTATCTAGAAAGACTTAAATCACTTAGTAGTGATAAAATGATACGATGTTAATGCTGATAAGACTGGATTTCATCGAGATGACATGGTGTAATTGTACAATATGTGCCACAAGAAAGAACAAACTCCAAAGTAAAGCAGATGTTTGGAAGAAGACTGTTGTACTGAAGAGAATCAATTATATGGTTTATATATTTCAGAAGGGCAGGTGGTTCAAGCCAAAGGTCATCTACTGTGATAATCTTTGGAAGTACATTAGTGAGAGAATGCCCAACTGGGTAATTTCAGAGAGGAAGTTCTTAGTGTAAAGTCTAATTTTAATGTAAAATATTTCACAATTTTTTATTAATCTGAGTCTTTTTTTTTTTCACATAAACACTTCGTACAGAAAACCGTTAAGTTGACGTCATTTTAGCTAAGTTTGTTCCTTTGTTGTTCTCTAAAGATAATACTTGCTTTTCCTACACAGATACTGTTGTAATGCTGCACGTTGTGCAAAAAGGTCGATGTCAACAGTGTACTTTATTGGTAAAACAGATTATATCTAGAGGTTATGGCTTCTCCTATGTTGAATGAGAATGACCAATCACGAGTATTGCTAGTTGGTATGGGTGAATTTGATGTTTCCTAATAATTAAGGAGCATTTTATACCAACAGTTCTACAAGGTATCGTATGTGAGTGGTCGACGGAAAACATCTTGCGGTAAAAAGCCAGTTGATCAATTCACCAGTCCAATAGAAAGCAATCATTCAGAGTCCAACACAACTATGCACACTGTTTTGTGTTAATATATAAATAAATATTGTTCATTTTGCATTACACATCGTCCAGTCTCTTTATTTCGTAGCTTAGAACTAATTTATTTTAGTCAATTTCAGATTTACTTTGTAATTTATCCTGTCGATCCTCCTGTTATAAAGCAGACCTACTTAACACCCTTTGTAGAAATAAGTTAACATGAAAATACCACAACTTCAATTGGAAACTTTCAGTACAACCTTTTCCTGCTGAATTCAGCTATACTTCATTAAAAATATGACATCTGTCGCCACTAAAATAATGATTAAAAGATCCACGACAATGCTGCCCAACTGTGAATAGTTTTTCTTGTTTCTAGACGTAAAATCATGTTATTTACGGCCAGATTCGTTAACGTTTCTTTCGTTCTTTTTCAGGAACGGAAGAGGAGTTTTTATCACATATGTGGTAAGCAATGGCTCGTATATTTTGTATATTAACTAAATACAAGCTCCCCAGTGACACAGCGGTATGTCTGCGGACTTATAACGCCAGAAACCGGTGGGCAGAGCACTGATAGCCCATTTTGTTGCTTTGTGCTTAACTACAAACAAATAAACTAAATAAAGTATTTTAAGATAAAGAGTGGTCAGTAAAATATACAAGTTTTATAAATTGTACGTTAAGATGAACGAATTTTTTACAACTTGATGCTGTTTTTCTATGTTGTGTATAATAAATCTTATATAAATTCCAGAATATCTCAAACTTTGGTGATGTTCCACGTTGCGTCAATAGTAAGTTTACGGGCACATAATACTAAAATCCAGAGTTCGATTCTCTGTGGTAGACAGAACACTGATAACTCACTATGTAGTTTTGTACTAAAAACAATTTTCTTAATATTTCATTTTCCAGCCCATCCTCTTATTTTTCGTGATGCCTGACAATTATTGCCTTTATTTAATCCTGGAAAGTTAATGTAATCATAATCCTTCTCATGATAGAAATTGTGATGTAATTATTAATTTAGTTGGAGCTCTAGTCTGTAGTTTCTAGGAACTAAGGCTGTCTTACTCAATAACAAAACTTACCCACAGCAGCCTGGAAGTATCGCAGCCCAACATGGTCGTAGAATTCTCCAGGGAGATCAAATTCTGGAAATCAATGGGTTAAACTTTAGGGAAAGTAACCAGAATGATGTGGCAGAGATGTTAAAGGTGAGATATCAAGCTTTTGTCAGGGTAAGAAGGAGGGGGTGAAAAGATATAAATACCAAGAACAAATATTGTAGAAATAATTCTTGAAAACTGAGTTGTTGATTTTTTGCAATTTTGCAGAGCTTAGTGTGCCAATACCAGTCCTTGTTTCATGCGCTTTATGTCGGAAACTTCTCTATTTTGTCTGTGCTTTTAAGAATAAAATACCTAAAATGCGACTAGCGGTAAGAGGATTATTTTCATGTGTAATTATAAGGCATTTGATTAGATTTGAAAAATATGACTACAATGGGTTTAAAAGTTTTAAGACTGGGATATCCGTTGTACCTAATGACATTGAAAAACAAAGGAAGATGAATCATTCTGGGTTACTAGGGCCATCTAAACAAAGAGGCATGCAACAAGTTACACCCAAGTCGGGTAAACAAAGTGCCGTGTCTTTTAACAGGTGAGAACCCACAAAGACAAAGGTCAGTGGAATAAGCCATCTACATGCCGCATGCAACAGCATACAACATAATCAAGTAAGATCTCAATCTGTAAAAACAACACAAGTTGCTTCTATAACATATCTGTTGAACTGCCAAGCAGTCGGAGAATTAAATGGTTGAATATCATTCCATACAAAGGCATGCTGGTCAAATTACTGGATGCGGCACCTATGGATTTCTATATGATCACTGTTAAAACAAGTCCTAAAAAACTGGCATATGTATAAACTAAATGGATTATGTAACGTATGCAGGAGGTGATGTGCTTTGTACATGACAGCCTTACAAGCCAAGGCTATTGTTAAGATGATCTCTATCTGGCCAAACGTGATTACATGGATTGTAACGACGTAGGGAGGATCCAAAATCGTTTTAATATAACGTACCCAACTTCTATACTTGTTTTTTTTACAAAGTTTTTCCTATGTTCCATTTATTATTTATATCATCTGCTTCCTTCTTAATTGATACTTATACCTTTTGTTTTTTTCTTGATAACCATGTTTGATCATCGCTTTCATAGAACACAGATGGAGCAATTGTCCTACTGCTCGGTCGTGTGTATGCCCTGACTTTGGCCATCCAAGAATGGACCCGGGCCAAACTTCGCAACCGGACATCAACCTGGTCAGCCTACTCAGATGATACAAAAGAAAAAATTCAGGCCCAGCGCCCCAGGTAAGTAGCAGTTTCTGTAAGTTTATTCTGTTTCAAAACTAACTCAGAAGTTTTAAAATTTGAAATAAAAAAGATACAGGTACTGTCACTTTACTAGCCACATTTCAGTGAAAAACATTAAGAGAAAATATTAATCATACTAGTATAACCTTAAGTGGCATTTTATAGGGTTACAAAATCACTACGTAGGAAAGATTGTTTGTTGAATTTCGCGTAAAGCTACTCGAGGTCTAGCTGCACTCGTCGTTTCTAATTTAGAATTGACAGAATAGAGGGAATGCAGCTAGTCAACACCACCCATTGCCAACTCTTGGGCTAAGTTTACAAACGAAAAGTGTGATTGACCATCATATTATAACGCTCCCACGGCTGAAAGGGCAAGTATATTCGTTGACTGGATTCAAACCTAGACTCGCAAATTCCGAGTCGAGCGTCGTAACCACCAGGTCACATATGAAAGAGGTGAGATAATAGTTACCCCCATCCCAACCGATGGGACCACAACTGATGTAAGAAACCCTCTAGAAGTCTAAGCAAAATATTTCAGTATCAGGCCTGGCTGAAAATTAAAAATGAAGGAACAGTGTTAGCCTACTTTTGTGGACACACCTGTGCAGTATAACTAAATGCGAATAATTACAGTAGTTGGGAGTACTGTTCAGACACCATGCATTAATTGGCTGCTTCAGGGGGTGGGGGGTACAGACGATGATGTCATAGTGCTGTTCTCCAAAGACGATGACATCATAGTTTCACGAAGTGTCACCTGGGTACGCTACTGTTTTAGAATCATAATGCACGAAGTGGAACCAGAGGGCGCGTTGTTAGGCCGCCATGACACTGAACAATAGAAGTTGTCTGCTATCAGAGAGCGCGTTGCTAGGCGTGACATCATAATTCGACTGTTACCCAACAGAGAGCTTATTGTTAAGGTCACTAAGTAGCACCAGTGGCAGGGCGTGGTGGTATGATAAGCGTGCAGATATTTCACCAGCAAACCACGAAAAGGTGACGTATATCAATGTGTCATAAACTTTATAGTAACAATCAAAGTCTTAAAATAAATAATTTAATCAAATTTGCATAACGTTGTGCTTACAGTTTCCCTTTATAAATAAAACACTAAACATGTTTTACATAGGTAGAAGGTTTTCTGTAGGCGGATAGTGTTATTAAGGATACTGTTTCTATGGGCGGATGATGTTCTAAGCAAATTGTTACCATAGTTCGTAGAATTATTGATTAATCAACAATATTTTACCCTATTTTCCTAGCATGCATTTTACAAATCCTGAAAAGGGCGGATTTCTCGTAATAATGTATCTAAATATCATGGAATAATTTAACATACAATCTTACTGTTTCGCTAGTTTGGCTTTATGGATTAAATATATTCTTATGCTATTGCTCTATCCATATTACTACGAGATTGATTTTGTATAACAGTAAAATAGTTCTTGACAAAATATTTCATTTGATACATGTTGATACTTACTTTATAGTTTTCACTTACATATATTTCACAAAGGCGGACAGCATTTCTATGGGCGGATAGGACTGTGTACGGAACTTAACTTGTCTTAACTTATGTTTATAGTTTTCGTTTAATGTTATTAAACAGGTTTCACAAAGGCGGACGGTGTTTCAATAGGTGGATAATCTTGCTTAAGATAGTGCAGCCATGGCGGCTGGTGTTTCTATAACGGATAACTAAATAGGACGATGAGTTCAACATGTGATTACATCATCAAACTCTAGATTTAATAACATATCGTCAAAGTTACAAGTAAAACCATTACTTCAACGAGACAACAATTATAACATAGTGTATTACGTATGTCAGTTTTTATCGCACGTAGTATCCATTATTTGAGCGAGACAAATAATGTAACCAATAACTTACCTTACATACTTTTTATAATTATCCGTCACTGTGTACATAAAACACTTCACTCATTCATTAGTTCTAGTTTTCGCGTCCATAATCAACTTGCGTGACATACTTTTTACATTCTCTGACGCTTTATATGTGAAACACTTATCGTTAATTCATTTCTATAACTTTATTTTATTTCCAATATAATTAGTAACATTGACTGATTCATTGATTGTAGTTAAGCACAAAGCTACACAGTGGGCTATCTGTGCTCTGTGCACCACGGGTATCGAAACCCAGTTTCTAGCGTTGTAAGTCCACAGACATACTGCTGTGCCACTGTGGGGGGGGGGGGCATAACAGACATCACCATTATTTAATAATATAATAACAATGACAGAAAACATCAATATTTCAACATAACATAATGTTTTGGGACAACATGGGACCTATTGATTCATTTCGGCTGTTCCATCATCTAAACCAATTTAAAATAATTGAAATAAAATAAGTCTTAAAGCCAGCCCTTATCATTCATATACTTATCAAGCTTTTTCTTAAACTCACTAAAATTTACTGCCTCTACAACATCTGAAGGCAACCCATTCCGAAGTCCAACCACTCTGTTAGAGAAATGAAATTGTCTTAGCTGAAGATGATTCCTACCTTGCCAAAATTGATATTTGTGTCCCTAGTCCTACTATTCTCACTGTCAAATACGAAAAAAGATGATGCATCAACACTATCAATTCCCTTTACAATCTTAAACACCTCAATCAAAAACTCCCTAACTCTTCTTTTTTCAAAAGAAAACAATATGAGAGATTTCAGTCTCTC